ATAAGGAAGATATCATGGCATATCATCTGTAACACTTTACAGGACATCACACTATAATTTTATCAGGGGAAAAGGCGTTATCAAAAGCACCAGGTAGTGCTTACTGTCCTTAAACTACAAGAAAAACAAAGTCACAAAGTCCTTTGAAGAATTTTGGAATGCAGCAACAATTGACCCCTAGGTTTTGTTTTTATTCTTTTATCAAATTTAACACAACTTTTACATTTATAGAAGCTGTGGTTTGTAGCTCTAAAATTTTTGGTGGCAATTTCATTTTCATAAACAGCTTGAGCTTAAGGGGGTTGCTCTTACAGGATATGTTTTACTGATATTAACTGTCAGATGGATACACAGAAGTACACTCAATTCTTCGTGCTTGTATTTATGTGTATGCAGTAAAAGACATTGTAGATGCTAGTACAATTTTCAAATCAACAACAGATCTGTTTTGAATAAATGAGGTGTCATTCTCCATTGTTTCTATTCTTCTGCTCCAGTCACTGAAGTACAATCAAAGTTCTGGCATGATTACAGTTTTCTACTGATTTTAAATTAGACACAAGGCTTCCTTGTCAGAGCTGTGAATGAAATATTTGCGAGCCGTGTTCTCTTGCACATTCAGTCAAATGGGGAGCCAACAACTGGCCAAACATGGCTGTAGGATTTTCTGTCTTGAACAAACATTCCTCCCCCCCATTAATGGGGAGAAATGTCCAAGGAAGAATTATTAATTATGAAGGTAGACAAGTGCAAGAAATCTATTCTGAGCAGTTGTCCATCAAGATGACTTTTCATCATGACCATTAACCATCTGAGTCTTTTGTACATTGATAAATTCTGATTACGATAATCCCGAGTAAATTATTTTCCATACTGCTGAGTATGTCTCATTAGGGCTATAAGCAGAGAACCCCACAGGAAGCAGCAGATAGGTATTTCTTTTCTTTTGTAGTTTCCAAACTACTGCACACGTTGGAGGCCCGAGTGCTTGTATTGACTTGGATCTTGTGTTACATTACTGAACTACATGACATGCTAATTAGTGGGTATGCTGTTAGAAGAGTTTTAGAAACAGCACTCCTGCGCAATGGGTTTGCATCACTGAAAATTAGATTAGCACTACTGTATAGAAAATGTTTAGTGTGGACTATTGTGTCTAAGGCTGACTGCAAGGAAAGGATATTCCTGATCATTACCTTTTTAATCAGCAATGGGTCTTTGTTTAAGCAGTTTTTTAAATTAAAAGAAAACATTTGTAAGATACTTTTGTAGATATTTATTTTCTGGTTTCAAAGTGCAATATTTTGTTTTGTACAGTGTTTAATAAAGATTTTTGGACATATATTTTTTCTTATTACCAAAATTTCTTATTCATGTTTTTCCTTTATATTTAAAGTTTTCAAATGTTAACATATAGCATTTTTTGTTGCTTTAATTTTGTCTTTAGTTAAATATGCATGCTATACAGAAGCAGCACTGTAAATGTTTGTTATTGCAATTGGCATGACATTCCTCTGTAGATTATTTTATTGCTTCTCCAGTAACTGAAGATGTCTAATATTTAGCTTTCTTTAACGTAGTTTTGATACTTCTGAAATAAAGTCTAGTTTGATTATTCAACACTGTGATTACCCAGAGATTGTTTATTACTGTGATTTTCATGGTAGCTATGCTTTCATTCCAAGTGTTATTTTATCAACCTACTATGCCTATGGTTCTTGGATTTTTTCAAAGCTAAGATTAGTTCTTAATTTTGACAGTTTATCAGACAGATTCTCAGCTTCATTACAGTCTCCTTTGCACTGCTATTAAGAGGCAAAATCGATGTAACCTGACTGAAAAAGCGGGGAAGATAATTTGCCAAAAGCCAAATACATCAGCTCTGACTCACGGAAATCTAGAATCAGGATTCTGTGAAAAAGTGGAATCAAGTTACATTTCTTTGCCAGGCCTTCATGTACTGCACCAAGCAGAGTCCATTTAGACCCAACAGAACAGCTCTATGTTTTATATTTAGTGGGTGATGGCAACAGCTACGTGAAAAAAACTTGTTTCAGAATATTCGGTGTGTTTAATAGTCTAAAAAGGAGAGTCTCATAAATAATATGAACAAGAAAAGCCTTAAAAATTTTTATTGAATTGAAAATAAACGTCTAGCAATGAAATGGTGGTGTTCCAGAGTAATCCTAGATGGTAACGTTGGCAAAGATGCATGGGTCTATTCAATTTTCCTTTTGTGTCAGGAATGGATTCTTTCTGTGCAGTCTTTAGAAAAAAAAGAAAGATTCTGTACAGCAGTTCTGCGGAGCATGCTGCATAGCATATTCCACATAAAGCACTTTTAGAATATCAGTTGAATCCATGAGTAACTTTTCCGCTTTTACATCTTGGTTTAGCATGACATCATAAAATGCTTTTTTAACAGCTGTTATTTTGAGAAATATTAGTTTTCCAGCCTGCTGTTCATTTTGTCTGCATTTCAGTAATATGTTGCTTATGAAAAAGCTGACCTCAAGTATTGAATACTGTCTGAAGGTTTATAATATCATTTGATGCTTATCCTGGAAGCACAATCAGTAGGGTGTGGCTCTTTCAACTGTAATGTAATAAAGGCTTCTCTCTTTCACTATTAAACTTAGGGGAAAACATTAAGGACAAAAGGAAAGTGAATATGCCCCCTCCACCCTAAAAACGTCTTCAAACACATCTGCAGCGGAACTGTTAAATGTGTCTGAATATGCCCTCCACTTCCTCTCAAAAATTTTTGTACTGTGCTGGTAGGTGGCAGCAAATGACTTTCCAGACCTTAGGGGGTGGGGTGGGGTGGGAAGTGACTTAAGAACTAAAAAAACAGCTGTGAAAATTACAAGAAGCATCTGGGCTCACTCAGACCCAGAGGAGAAGCCGTTTTCAGCAGAACATGCAGGCACATGTAACTTCATAGATGCAGACTGCATTTCTCAAGGAGTTTTCTTCCTCCCTAGAAAAGAGAGCTGGAGGATGCTAGCAGCTTCTGTAAACTTCTCATGAGGTACCAAGATTGTGCAGAGGATATGGACTTGGGCAGGTGTAACTGTGTGAAGTTTTGACTTTGTTTCCTCGGTTATGGCCAGACAGAGAATGACTCAAGTTTCATAGAGAAGGGTGTTTGTAGTTTGTTTTCTTCTGTGGCACAGAAGGATGACAATGAATTGGACTTTTCCCTGTCCTGCTTTTAGGGTATCACAACTTTACATTGTCTTTGTTCATGCCCGATTCAAAACATGTCTTTACCAACTGGCGACACGAATAATCTTCAGAGAGAAAAGTTTAATTGAATTGTTGTTTCATTAACAGAGCAAGTCAGATTACAAAAACACAGTACAAAGACAAAAATTACCTAAAAGTAACTGATGCTTTAATAATGTCTGGAGCTCTCTCGTACAATGCTTTTATGCACAGCTAATATGCTCAGTTCAGCTTTCTTCCTTGAGTATGATCCAGTTCCTGCTTTCAGCGTGTTTCTGTCATTGATCTTAGTCCTTTTATTAGTGATTTGGTTTATGAAGTATGAGCACGTGATTCTTCAGAATCCAAATGACTGCCTTATGCCAATGCATAAAAGATATGCAATATGGAGAAAAATCATACTGCAGTACTGTGACAGAACACGATAATCCTGCTAATCATAGAACTATTTATTGGGACTTGCTTAAATCATGAACATAATAGGACTGAAATCAGTTCGTCTAGATTTTGGGAAATCAGGTAAAGATACATGAAAATACTTAGTATCTCATATGAAGCATAATAATTGCATGTGTAATTTCTATAAAAATTTTGTTTTCTGTGTATTTTTAACAAGTAATTCTTTGAAGAGCAGACAGACTGAAGCCAGGCTGTCTAATGGTTTCTGCATCTTTGCGGATATTTGGTTTTTTAACTGAGTGTTTATTTTCTGTTATCTCTACATACACCTTTACAGCTTTCTGCCTTTTTCCCCTTCAGACTGCCTCTGCAGTGAACTTTGGCAGTGATAACAGGCTGTTTAGCTTTAAAAATCAGATAGCAGGATCAAAAACCCCAGTGGATGGATATTAACTTTTTGAGCCTCATTCTTTCTGCTTCCTCACCATCTACCTCAGAAACTTGAAAAACAATCACCTGTGAAATATCTTTCTGAAATTTGATTGAATTTGTACAGTTTTGATTTAAAAATTACTCGGGCAGGGAGGACACACATTTAGTGTGTCAGTGTGTCCAAAGCTTTGCATCAGCTTTGTTTCCTTCGAAGTAAGGCTGAAAAAGCGCTATCAGGGAAATTTGGAAACAGAGTCTAATGACCTGCTTTTCATGTCTGGGCGATTTCAAGTATGCGTAGAGAAAAAGAACAAGGGTACTTCTTGTTAATTGCTATCAGAAATTACAGTGTGACCTTTATGCTCTCCTCAGAACTGAATGAAGGAAAAGTAATGATGACTAAAGCTAAAACTGGGTTTTAGCCTAGGTATCTTGGGATGCTATCTTACGATTTGGGCAGAAAAATGTAAAGAAAAATTCTTCTTATCAGATTTACTCAAATTATTGATGAAAAACTGGACCAATGAGCTAATTATTTAGATCATGATAGCATTATTTGCTCACTATGAAAAAAGGTTACGATCAACAGATACTTGCTATTTCACAAATACAATCATTTGATCTGCAGAGAATATGAAAGAATTAAATGTACAATACATATGCTTGAGATGGAGCATAATGAAATCTAGGGACTCAAGGAAAGTAGAATGCATGATCAAAAAAAGAACAGAAGCCCTATAAGATGCATCATTCCTACAAAAACTGGCAAGTCTTGTAATAAAGTTACAGTTTTGCTTTGATTTTCTTCAAGCTATTAGTTTAAATGCTTTTAAATTCAGAATTTGCATTATTTAATTTGCTTTCAGTGTTATTTAAACAAAAAATGAATAAGTAGGATTCCAGTTATTTCACCAGGCTCCTTGAAATATTGCATTTAAGTATTATGACACAACGGCTATTTCCTTTGGAATGGGATTACTATTTGACTCGGAAAACTCTGGAGCAAGCTGTTGGAAGAATTTGTGACCATGAGAATCTGTGTTTACATAGATATAACCTGGAGGAGATGGATAATTTGCTGGACAGATCTCTTGTTTCTTTGGAGTATATTCTGTGCGATACATAGTTTCATCTTGAAAAGGAGCTGAATTAGGAACTATCGCACTTACAGGTTTGAAACCTTGAGCTGGAATGATCTGATGTGGTACATAATGAGATTTGAATGTAGTTAAATCAAAAAATTTGCCCATGGGTTTGGGAATTTCCTGTTGCTTCTTAGTAATCTCTTGCCGACAGCTGCCCCAAGCTTTAAAGTCTTCCTTGGTAGTAGTATTCCCTTGAAAAGGGGCATTGGTTCTTCTTCTGTTAGAAACCGGTTTTACGGGGACAGCAGGAGAAATCTCATGCTTAACATAATGAAGATGGCTTGTGGAGTTAAAATCCATGTCGCCTGGGGGTGGAACATACTCTTTTGTTTTGCGGGCCTCAGGCAAGGAGACCAACCACGGCTGAAAACGATCCTGGAATTCAGTGGTTCCATTAAAACGAACATTGGATGCAACTTTTGCATTTTCAGGCTTGCAGCTTTTTGCAAGTTGCCCAGGTAGCCCTTTAAAATCATTCCGGTGGGTTGTGAGATCTTCGAAGGGTTGGTTGCTTGGCTTGTACTCTTCTTTCGATCTTACAAATTTTGGTTCCAGTTGATGAGCAATGTAAGAAGTGCGATGGCTAGTAGTACTATCGAAAGGCATATCTGAAAGCTTGGCTACACAAGGAGGTTTAAAACTTTGTCGGGGATTTAGTTCCCTAGGAACAAAGTCATCTTGAAATGTAGTAGAATTTCCAAACTTCACTGCAGGTGGGTGGTATATATGCTCCACCTTACTAGTTTCCCTTCTTTGGACTTCCCACGACCTATAGTCATCTTTAAGGCAAAAACCAAAACTTTACCATACAAGGGTTATTACTTAAGACCATTCCTTTAAAATTAAGCCAAATTTTTCTGGTATTAAATCTTGTGAACCAAAGAAAATGGATGTAAGCGGGCATGATAATGTTATCTGCATGTTTGTGATATGACAAAACTATCTTCTATTATCGGTGTGATAAAAACAGACAAAAAAATGTACGTGATGCCTTATTTTGACTATTTGCTTAAGGAAAAAGAAAATGTTGCATGTACATATCTATTGTGTGTTCTATACAGAAAATAGCCATATACAGGTTTTATATACAGTATCTTACATTTTACTTAGAAGTTAATGCAAATATAGAAGACTGAAAGGAACCATATAGGTCAATGGGTCATGTTCACTACTGATTGGGAGAATTCTCTCTCATAATTTCTATATCAACATTGCATTGTCTTAAAGCTTGTTGGGATTTTTTTCTTTGAATCTGAGTTTTTTACTAACAGACTGTTCTGCTATAGTTACAAAACTTACTGTCCAGTCTAAACTTCTTCACAAGCAGTTGAAATCAATTTGTTGCCTTGCAATCACTGTACTTACTTGCATGCTGTCTTAGTTGTATGCTGAGACTAGGCTAAATTATTCATTATTTGCTAGCTTATTACTTATGTGTAGGCCAAAGAGGAATATTTAAGTTGCCTCATAAATTATTTACAATTAATAAAGTCTGTTTATCAGAACGTATTTATATAAATGTATTTCTATCTAACGTACGCTGAAGCTTAAAGAAGCTAGTGAAATACAACTCTGGGTTTTTTTTGTGGCAAAACAGATAATTACTAGGATGATATGCAAGCTATACAGTACACAAGAAAGAAATCTAAAAGCAACTTTTGACCTGCTCTGTGTAAAAATGAGTTACATGAGCTAAAACTATCTCAAAGATATATTGGCACTTTAATTACAACCAGCCTTTGCCTGAGATAGCTTATGCATGTATATGTTAGAATTTCTCCCCTTCGTGCCAAGAAAACCTCAGAAAAGGCTTTTTGTTTAGAACCAATAAATGTCACCTCTAAACAATTGGAGTGCTGAACATCTTAAGGCATTATCACCTGCTTTCTATTATGTCTTACTCTGGCCTAAACTAAGAAATCCAGTTTCTAATATTGATAATTCAGAATACTACCTTCATCCTGGTTATTCCTCTTTCTAAGGGCGGCATATATTATTACCTTGATAGGTTGGTATGGTATCCAGTTTTCCTCCTATAGTGTGTTTTCTCTCTAGAGGTCTTACTAATGTCACTGGCTGTATTTTATGAGCATTATAATCTTTCTGGTATGTGGTTCCCAGGTCTATCTCTCCTGTGTTTGGTTTATGTTCTTCCTGTATCCGAAAAGGCCGCTTCACAATATCATATGGTAAGTAATCAGATCTGAATTAGGAAAAAAGGAAACACTAGTTTAAAAACTTTTTTCTGATAGAGTCACTTTTGTCATTTTTACATTATATGGAAAAACAACGACTAATAAGATTTACTCTGAAAAATCAATCTGATGCTGTATGTTAGAGGGATAGCAAGGAGGACAGAAAACAATAGTACATAAATCTAGGGTGTCTGATGCATGATATAGCCTTGATTCAAAGGTAGATGGTGAAGCAACTTTTTCAATGCTCTAAGTCTCATTCCTCATTTAAAAATATTCTATAGAATATCTGAAAGGAGACTAGAAAATGTTGCTGTAATTTTATAAAGAAATGATCCAGAAAGCAGACAATCAAACTACTACAGGTGGCAGCATTTACTAATTGCATGAGGAGAATGGAATATAATCAGAAACAGCATTTCACTGTTTTTATATGGGCACGTTATGTTAAAAGGGTGTATATTACACATGTAGGTGTTTAAACAGTACATGCAATACAGAACCAGTCTTGCAGAATGGTATTTGGCCTTTCTAGGTACGTCCCATTTGGTTTTCTTATAAACAAATTAAGAAGTTTCACTTGTTGCCCCTATAGCTTAAAAGAAAAACAGTAATAGAAAAAGTAAAGGTTTATGCTCCTGCTACATTATTAATAATGAGTGATGTCTTTTTCTAACTCTTTGAAAGATGGTCTTTAATTTTGTAAGCGTAACATCAGAGTCTGTGCACTAACAGACCTACTGAACTCCTTTAGAGTTGGCTTTCTTCTAACTCCTCATAATTTAGAACTGTCTGAATAAAAGAAATATCCCTGTTCCTTTTTCTTAAGGTTTCATTTTCTCACTATCTCAGATTCCACAGATGTATTACAGAAAGTTCTCCAGCTTGGCAGCTTTTTCAGGCTCAATGATACCTAGATTTCCGAAACAGGCTGAAAACAAGGACAAAAATTTTAGATTATTTTTACAGGTTAAAGGATGCTGTAAAGAATGCAAATCTTTTTGTATGTGTGCTTCACTATTTTTTATGACCTTTTTGTGGTAATTGTATTTCTACACTCAACATATATACTTTTAAATATGCTAAAAGTGTAAAGGATGCAATGATTGCATTTTGAAAATGATTGCAATACATTGTTCAGTTCCCCCCCCTTAAAAGGCAAAGTATGAGAAACTTTATAGAGTAATTGTAAAACACATTGCTTCAAAATGTTTACTTAAATGTTGTAATTCCTTCCATTTTCCCACGATGCACTTGGTACTCTTGTTTCGGCTTAAGGCTCCGGGGAGGAGAGATGTTGCTATACTTGGGATACTTTTCCACATACTCTGTTGTGAGGCACGGCTGTTGTCCATTATCATAAATTCTTGTGGGTTTCTGAGGGCAGCGATGGCGCCTGGGTAAAGCACATCAGGAGATCATTTTGAATAGTTTCATTTAAGGGGCAAAACCCATGCTCTATCTACTGGGAGTGAATAACAAATGGGGAAGATCAAACAATGTTGATAGCTTGTGTTTAAAATCCTTTCTGAGTGATAGAAACACAAAATATTGTGCTGATGGCATAGGTCCCAGAGCACGGTATACTAATACGGTAATAAACAGTATCAGTATGCGAATTAGTCCTTAGTTCAGAATACAAAGGACGGATGGAGTTGATCTCAGTTCTCTGATGCTACCACCAAGATGCGCTTTTCTCTCTTTTTTTAAACTTTAATGATATTACTAGTCTTATTTGCGAGAATAACTATGCTTCATTTCTCCTCTCATATTGTCTCTTTTTTACTGTTTTCCCCCATAACTTGTTCTTTTATTTTTGTGCATGTGCTCACCTATTTTCACAGCAACTCTTGATTAACCCTTTTTGACTAAAATTTTAGTGGTGTGAAATCTCACGTGCACTTCTTGTGCTCTGCGGGCTGTTTCTGAATAGGCTTTATTTCAATTACACCTGCTTGTCATGGATGCCTATTTTAATGACACCATTGTGTTAAAAGGTGTTAAGAGGTATATTGTGACAATTTACTACTTATACCTTGTTGTTTTGTGTAAATCATGCATTAAATTAAAATGTACATGTTAAGATTTTTAAAGCAATATAGAAAATTTTAGATTCATTCTAATTTGCATAACACATCTCTGGCAGTTTGTTTCAAGCATAATTCAAAAATTTTATTTTGGCTAACAGGCAATTATTGTTTACTGTCTCTTTTAAGGAGATATATAATGAAAGATGTTCCTTCTACATGTGGCTGACAACTTGCAACACTGGTTCAGATGCAAGCAAAGGGAAATAACAAGAAATAAATCATAATTTTTTAAATAAATGAATCTTGTAAAATTCTGTACATTAAAACCAAATATAACTAAAGAACAAGAAGGGTAAAAGTGTACAGCTCTTACTGGGTTACAAATAAATTCAAGTTTCAGGAAGCTAGATACCCAAGGAATAGTTCAAAGGTCTGCAGAGAAATCTAGCTAGTACTGAATACCAAGAAGGGAAAAAATAAATTAAAGCAAGGTAAAATAGAACACAGAAACAGACATGAAGGACTCCTGCTGGGAAAAGTAACATTAAAATAAACACTAAAAGAAGTTACCTGGAAGCAGAGATCCCTAAAGCTGGTATTAGTTTGGGCTGCCTGACTTTGCCAGCTCAGTAGTTCAATAAATGAGAAATGAAGTAGTCCTGTCTAAGAAGCCAGATCCTTTCAAAGCCTCAGGTGCTTACACCTTTTCAATCAAGTCAAGGGATAGTCAAGTAACAACTGAGAGACCTATTCGGAACATAGGAAGGAAAGGAGAAAGGAAGAAGAGGGAAAGAACAGGAAAGGTGGTTGAAATATAGGCTATTATGTTATAAATGTTCTTCACATATTTTAGGCATACAGTTCAAAGGAGTTTGAAACAAACAATATTCATCTACAAACCCTTCATTTTGACAATCTTCAGTTTGCCATAAACTGGTCCAGAAGACCAATCACCAAATAAAACACCTCTGTTCTGGTATCACTAGTCTTTAAAGACTTAACTCTCACTGTTTTCTAAGCAATATTGACAGTATATCGCCCTTATTGCTGAATGGTCATGCTACAAACAGAAATAGATACTAGGAAAATAATTCCTTGCAGAGTGAGCCTGCGGTTATTGGTAGATTCAACACAGAGGTGAAAGTAATCTAATGTATCTCTCCAAGGAAAGAAGCTTTTGTAATTGCATTAGAATTCATTGCCAAATCAAAAATGTCCTTGATCCCAGTCATTTCTAGCATATGAAATGACTGTGAATAGCCTCTAACTATGCACAAAATTACTCGGATTCAGATGAGACCGTTCATCCTACTCTGTCCTGTGAAGCAACTTTCAGTGGGACTACAAGGCAACGTAAAATTTCCTTAATATAAATGTGAATTTGTCTTGGAGAAGAGATTAGGTTTTTTTCTGGTTAACATATAAACCTACTGTTGTCCAACTACTACACCAAAAGTTTTCATTTAGATAATAACTTTATAAAACTAATTACATAAGGCATCACAGCTCTTTAGAGAGATGATGCTAAGAATCATCAATCAGAGAAGAATGCTTTTTAAAAACAAAACCCTCAAAGTTGTTGTTTAACTGCCAGTGCACAAGCTATGGTCTGAAAGACAGGAGCTATGTATGGACACTGTATTTTTGAGAGTCATCTGCTTTACTCGTGTTAACAGGAGACCTAGTAGTTTTTATTGAGTTTGTGTGTATTTACATATGGTGAGTACAAAGGCTTAAATATCGCATATTTTACAGCAATCTTCCTCTTTCCTCTTAAATTACATTTATTAAGGAATCTAGTTTTTTATGATAATGATAACAAAAGTGCAATAAATGGGGAAAGGCTGACAGATTAAGAAGATAAAGCAGTAGTTTATTTTTATATCTCGAAACTAAACTTCAATGCTTTTGTATACTATGATTATCCAGACAAATACTATTCCTGAGTGCAGAGAATTCATCGACCTCAGAGGCTTTATTCTTCCTTTGGAGGACAGATTTAACATCCTCTATTTTATGTTAGAAACTTCTATTGAGCCAGTGATCTGAAGCCTGACTGTGCTTGCTGGCAGGGGGTAATTTTCTCTTGTATGAAGTGAACACATTTGGAACCTATGGGAAATCAGAAAATAAAAAAGTTTTCTTCTCTTTATGGATCAATCCCAAGTAAGACTAGTTCATAGTTTCTCCACATTAAAAATATACCACTTCTAAAATAAGAAATGGATCTGAAATATCTTAGGAAACAATACAGAATCTAGCCATTACTCTGCACAATGCAGTTTTGAGAACATTTTTGTGGTTCATTGAAAAAAAACAATCTCCAACCAAACTTACATCTCTACCACAGCAGGTTGAAAATGATCAACATGCTGCCTTGTAGCATCTTACACTGCTGCAGAAGTCTTAAAGGCTTAAGCTCAAAAGGTTGGAAATTATGTCAGTTATTAAAAACAGAGACTTCCCCAACATTGGACCTATTTTGCAAATTGATCTTTGAGCATGCTCAGCACCGGGTAAGCTTCCAGTGGGTTTTGGCATTACAATTATTTGTTGATTTTGAAAAAGAGAGGCACAGAAAGTGATTCACTCAGATAAGAAGGAATCTATTAAAAACATTCCTAAAAATCTTGTAACAATTATTTAATTAAGAGCCCAAGACTGCAACCCCTGAGTATGAACACTAGCGGTCAGATGTGAGCCTTCAATGAGTGCATTGTGTATGTCACAATGCAAAAAAAAGGTCATTCTGGAATTTTGGAGGCTCTTCTGACTTCCCTGTGAAGAGAAAGCAGAATAAAGTTCTGTCTTACTGACTTTCCTCCCACTGTGTTTGTAAAATTTTTCAGACTGTTTTTTCTTCTGTGAACAGCTAAGAAAGATTGTTTCTTTCTGTTTTATTATTTAGACTTAAACAGTAATTATATCTCCAACAAATTTTCTGCAGATAGTTATGTGATAACTTCTACTAAATATTAGATCTTTTTCTTTGCTTTGAAATCTCTTCTAAGATATCCAGGTAACATTGTAACATTGGGATATCCAGGTAACACTGCCAAGCGACCAGTCTTCCCCTAAAAACAGAAACACTATAGCTACACTGAAGCAAACACAATGTGCTGCCTAAACCAATAATGGCATAAGATTTTATTGACTGTAAAAACTTCAGTGATGTTTATTTTAATGGAAACTTTTGTGCATGTTTTATTCAATTATTCACATTTTTAAACCAGGTTTTTGAATTGAGAATTTTCATTTGAGTTGAACCTTGTTTTCTGCTGTCAGATTGTATTATCTCATCATCTTTGTACTTGAGCCTGAGCCAGATTTTTATCTCATCATGAAAACAATGTGCTCCAACTCTTCACTAATCCAGGACTTTTGAAACAAATTTATGGGGCAAACTACACCCACACCCTTGGCCAAAAAGAACGTAAGAAGCTTTACACACTGTGTGTCTCTCAGTGCTGTCAACAGATCAAAAAAAAATGTGTGTGAGGAACAGATAGACAGACTTTCCATACTGAAACACATCAGGGTGTCTGCTATGTCGTTCTCAGACTTTTTTTTGATTATTATTAAAGATGGAATCTTTGAATCCTAGGATGAGAATCCTAGGATGATTATTTGGCTGAGTTTTTTTAAGTAGACAGAAATGAAATTGACAATATTAACAGAACTGACTCCAAACCTATCAACACATATCTGAACTCGGCAAGGTTTAAATCCCTGGTGATTCCGAGAAATTTGACTTGTGAAATTTTTTACCTATGCCATTGATAATATTGCTTATAGACCTGTAATAGCAATTTTAAACAAAAAAAATTACCTGCTGTACCCTCTTACGCCAGCCTCCCTGGGCCAAAGCGGCCACAGTACAATGACAAACTGTGTGTCTCCCTACGAGATCACTGAATGTAACAAAATGGTGGGGCTTCCCTTCACAGGGGAGAGTATTACTGGATGTGATGTTAGAAAGGCAGATCTATTAAATCTATTTTAAAGGCCGCAGTGCTTGCACAGTCTTCCGTCAAGGTTGATTTAGCCAGAACACTTCTGCGGGTGCCTTTGGCGCAGTCCCTCGCCGAGAGCTGGCTGTGCCCGACGGAAAGCCTGGTCCTGAGGGTTAGCCTAGGTGGCTTGGAAAGACCGTCCCCATTCTGTTCTATTCTAATGCATCTAAGATCTGATTAGAAACTGTTGAAATGGGAACGTTTCCCAGTTTCTGCCTCCCCAGTGCTAAAGATACCGGCCGCGGCCGGGCGCGGGGCTGCCGCGCAACCCGGGATGGGCGAGGAGGGGCACAAGGCGGCGGCTGGCGTCGGGAGGGCCCGGAGCGCTGAGGGGGGGCCGCCGGCATCTTCCCGGGGG